CAAATCTTGATTGGGGATGGGTTAAGAGGACCCCAAATACTGGAAGGGGGACCCCAAATCTGGGGGGATGGATTAAGAGGACCCCAAAATACTGACTGGGGGGCCCCAAATCTATGGGGATGGGTTAAGAGGACCCCAAATACTGGATGGGGGACCCCAAATCTGGGGGGATGAGTTAAGAGGACCCCAAGTACTGGAAGGGGGACCCCAAATCTATGGAGAGGGGTTAAGAGGACCCCAAATCTTGATTGGGATAAGATGACCCCAAATCCTGACTGGGAGACCCCAAATCAATAGGGATTGATTAAGTGGACCCCAAATCTTGACTGGGGGACCCCAAATCTGTGGGGATGGGTGAAGAGGACAGCAAATCCTGAATGGGATGCCCCAAATCTGGGGGGATGGATTAAGAGGACCCCAAATCTGTGGGGATGGGTTAAGAGGGCCCCAAAATACTGACTGGGGGGCCCCAAATCTATGGGGATGGGTTAAGAGGACCCCAAATACTGGAAGGGGGACCCCAAATCTGGGGGGATGGGTTAAGAGGGCCCCAGATCTGTGGGGATGGGTTAAGAGGACCCCAAGTACTGGAAGGGAGACCCCAAATCTATGGAGAGGGGTTAAGAGGACCCCAAATCTTGATTGGGATAAGAAGACCCCCAAATCTTGACTGGGGGACCCCAAATCTGTGGAGATGGGCTAAGAAGACCCCAAATCTTGATTGGGTTAAGAGGACCCCAAATCTTGACTGGGATAAGAAGGCCCCAAATCCTGACTGGGGGACCCCAAATCAATAGGGATCGATTAAGTGGACCCCAAATCTTGACTGGGGGACCCCAAATCTATGGGGAGGGGTTTAGGAGATCCCAAATCTTGACTGGGGGGCCAGAAATCTTGTGGGTGGGTGGGGAACATCCTGAGGAACCCAAATCCTGAGGGGGGGACCCCAAATCTATGGGGGGTGGGGTAAGAGGACCCCAAATCCGGAGGGTAAGGGTTGGGGTGGGGGTCGGGGGGTTGTAAAGGGGACCCCAAATCCTGGGAGGGGACCCCAAGTCCTTGGGGGGATGTGGGGTAGGGGACCCCAAATCCTGAGGGAGAGAGTTGAGGGGGGGGGGGGCATAAAGGGGCCCCC